ATTGAGATTTCTCACTTTGCGCCCTTTGAGTTGTCCCCAAAGTATTTTTGTTAGGTTGAGATATTACATTGTGAAATATGGTTTGCTTGGGGACAAGCAAACGTCTAAATGTGGGGGGAGTGATTCGGGCCTAAATGTACACTTTTTATGTAACATTCTGACCTTTGGGTTTAGATTCGACGTTAATACGTGAACAGTTAAATTGACGGTTAGGTACGAAGGATTATAATCACGGATTAGGAATAATAATAATAATTATTATTAATTAGTAAAAGAAAAAAAAAGTACATAAAGGGAGGAGGCGCTGCCCCCCACCCTGCTAAATAAATCCCCACCCGGCCACCAAACCCTCTCCCCCACTAATTAACCCCCAGTAGTCGCACTCCCCTGCGCAAGGAAAAAAAACCCGCAGTTAGTTCTTTTTCCCAGCAAGACCAAGAAGGAAAAAGGGAAGAAAGAAAGCAGCGCCGGTCGACCTCTCCCGTTGCCCGACCCCGATCCCATCTCTTTCCTGTCCCTAGGTAAGGATCGCACCCTTTCATGTTTCCAAACTCGATTCATCGATAGTCTAATCCGAAGCTCGTATTTTATTAGCGTTAACGTTTGAGCGTTCGATCATCGATCAATGAGATCAACGTCCCGGGCCATCCAATCGAATCCTAGGCACGTTCTAGAGGTAAGGGAACTTGATCCCTTTGAGTTAGATCGATCGATTTGGTGATTTTTCGTTAGGGTGCAATTCTGAGTTTTTAGGAATGGACGTTACAGGCTTTTAGTGACAGATTTTGGATGGTCACTAAAGCTGCTGGGAATTTGCAGAAACTTATTTTGGATGTTTTAAATTGTTTTGAGACTCTGTCGATGTTTGTTCCTAGGTTTATTAATTTTATAAATTTAGGGAGGTCCAGAAGATGTATTTCTATTTTTAGAAATTGTTCGAAGGTTTATTTTAATTAAAAAAAAATATTATCGAGTGTATTTTAACGGTTTGATAATTTTACAGGGTATAGGTGCTCATGATAGACATAGGAAAATTATTATTCAAATTTTTAAGAAAATTCGTCCAAGACAAAAATAATTAGGGAAAATGGTCGGTTTTGAAGGTATTATTTTTCGAAAATTTTTAAAGGAGGTTAAGGGACCTTTGGAGCGAGGCTCGTGGACAGGATTTTGAGGAGAGTATGTTCTAGTGATTCAAAAGGGGTTTTAAATCTTGAAAAGTCATCTAAGAAAATGGATTCTTATTAATAGGTTTCCCCAAGATAATCCGGCTAAGGAGGGGTTTCTTCGAGGAAGGAATCAAGGTGTCATCTTTTCGAGGTGAGTGTAAAGGGGGTAAAATCTCTTTCGCAGGTCTTTTAGTTTATGCTTCTCGTTCAAGTTATCAATTAGTTAATTTTTGAATAATGCGCGATATGTGTGTGAGGCATCCCATTGCCTGTAAGGGTGGAGGCACGCGTTGTGCTATGTATGAATGTATGGATGTATGATTGTAATAGTTGATTAATGGTAAGATGAACCCCCGGGCGGTTGGGTCACTACTAGACGGCGAGAAGTAACGTAGTAGATGACCATGCATGGACTGGATGGCGAGACGTAACGCGCTGCCATTGCCGAGTTTGGGTATGCAACCGGACGGTGTCTATGGATTAAGAATATAAGTAAGGAAACACCAAAGATAATATAGGAGTAGAGATCTCTTATAGACTGTTTGATAACAAAGTATAAAGGATGAAAGCGAGACCGGCTTTTGTCTAAGTCAAGAACCCGAATAATGTGTTTAGTAAGGAGTTCCTTAGGGCGAAGACCTTAGGAAGTAACGACAAGACTGACCCCTTCTCACTCACCAGGTGCAGAGAGGGGAAGAGGACGCATCCATCGAGAGGATGTAACTAGAGGAGAGCAGCCGCGGCAAACCTAAAGATGTCAACTGGATCTGGGTAACGATATGGGACTCCCATTATATCTGTCTTTAGTTTCATGTCTTAATGAGTATACTGGGAAACTCAAGGATTGTGTTTTATGTTTTTTTGCTCTGAATTGAAGTCGCCCAAGTGTTTAGGGAATTTCACTTGAGAATCTTAAACATTGTTGTTGTTGATTTTTGGTTATGACTTGTAAACCTGTTTCGAGTTGCTCCAGAGGAACCGGTTTGTGGTTTGAGTTATGGTTTGATTTTCAAAAAGGATCAGGTTGTTTCATTTTATCCCCGTTTCTCTTTGGCGTTTGACGCATTTGAGCTCCAAAAAGGGTGGTTTTACGCTAGGTTTGCCCGATCCTGCTTGGACCGTGAACTGCTACCTCCTCTTTGCCCGATCCTCCAAAAAGGGTGGTTTTACGCTAGGATTGCCCGTCTTCCTACAGTTACGAGGGGACTTATCCAGCTCCGACCTTCAATCAATTCAAACTTGGACACAAACATGGACTCTCCCGGTGGTGCCGAGCCGCCTCTCACGCCGAAAAGAGGAACGAATATGCTCGAACAAAGTGAGAGGGAGAAGGGCAATCAGGTAATTCATTTCTTTCGGGCAGCTTCTTTGACTTCAGCCATCTTGCGGATACCCAGTCCCTTTGACCGAGTGGCCCTCGCCGCCTTCCAGTTTCGAGCGTCTTCTTCTCTCAAAACGAATGAGATGCTTGGCGCGCTCCCCACTATATAAATCGATACACCTCACTCTAGCTAGAAACCTATGCTGTGTTTGCTATTTATTGATAGAGATGAAATGAATATTACAACCTCAAAGTTCTGAGAGATCTGTATCTGCCCACAGACAGTCCGTGAAGAGAAGTAGGAATTAGTGAACGTGGCAAAGGATAATGATATATTGAGGCTTACAGGTATCTACGCGATGGAATAATAAATTCCTGGTGAAAGACATGAAGATAGAGACAAGAAAACGATCCATAATCTTTCTCCATATGTTGCATCGAAGGACAGTGCCTCATTGTTCTTTGAAACCACTCACTTCTAGCTTCGTGCTGGGAAGAAGTTCGCGATGCAGCTCAGAAGAGAAGACAAGCGCACGGATGAGTCAAATTAAAGAATCTCAACTTTACTTTATGGCGAGGGTGGAACCACTGAGCTAGGTCGACTATTGGCCTTGAGGAAGTCATGCCACTGACGAGAAGAATGACGCCCAAAAGAAATCTTGATCATGTATCGAGGGGTAGGTCGGAAGAGAGTCGGCTCTATACCTACCATAGGAAGACTTGAAAGTTTACAATTTCTTTCTTTCAGTCCGTCAGACCAGGCGTCCCCAAAACAGTACTTTGATCGTAGATCCGTGTGGAACTTATGAGAAAAGAGAGCTACTGAAACGGATAGGAGCGACTTTCAAAAGCAGCAAGATCTCTTCTTCCCACTACTAGTTTGGTTTGTCATAACATTGGCACCAACTAATTTGGACAACTTCTTCAATTCTGACTTCCTTCACTACGAAGTCGTCACCAAAGCGGTACACAACCCGGTCTAAGTCGGAACCGAAACCCACTTCTCGGATTCGGAAACCAGAAAGAGATGGCATTCCTAACAAGTAGTAAGCCAATATTTGAGGAAAAGGTAGGTTGGAATGGGATGTTGAAGATTGCTTTTATCTCCAGTTGATGGATCGTATCAGCGGCTTGTGACCCAGCGACGGCTGCGCCTTAGTACCCCTATTGAATAATCTTTTTCAAAGCAACTTATTAAATAGTCGTTTTTATCGCCCCTTACTAAATAATCTGAGTCCGACTGATGAGACGCCATATTATGAAGGTCATGCTTGATCCTGTGTCAATTCCTTAATGATGGAATATTGAGTTAAGAGCATGGGAGGCGCATACGAGATTATAGGCTGGGCAGGGCAAAAGCCTAGTCGCACTTTCACGAAGAAGGGTAATTCGCCGGGTTTATCCTTTCCAAATATACGTAAGGGGCAGGTTTCTTCTCGAGGTCGATAGACCGAATCAGTAACCCCCTCCTATTTAGTTAGTCGAATGCAACTATCAAGCAATATCAGACTCAACCACTGGGACACAATTCGTAAAGAAGGAGTGGCAGACAATATAGGGGGCGGCATCGCAACCGGACCTGATCAGGACTTCTGGACTTGGTGAATAAAGGGAATGGCACTTGTGTTCGTGAGGCGGGAGCAGCTTCTCTCTTGCATAAGCAGTGACTGCAGCATACATCTGAGGCCTGCGCCTCCTGGTAATGAAATAGGTTAATTTGACTATTTAGTTGGGGCTTTAGAGTAAAGGAGAAGATTCCATTCAACTGGTCGGTAAAAGCCAATCTGGTCGGTGGAAGCTCAAGAAAAGTATTCCATAAAGAAGCTTTTCTATTTCTTTTTTCTTTTGACATATTAAAAAAGATATGCCATGTATGGCTAAAGCAAGTAGACGTTCCTGCGAAACTAGTACTCCCCAACAAGAAAAGGAAATTAGGAATGTACGTAAGAGGAAGGAATACTGAACCACCCGCTCTTCCACTGACTCATACTACTCTACGCCTTTTTTTCTGAGGAAGAGAAATAAGCAACCAATCACGAGATGAAATCGAAAAAGAACTTTAGTTCACTTCCACGGTATTTGCATTCGTCTTCCACACCACTCCGGAAGCTGGGAATAGTCTTAACCTTCGTACTCCCGCTCTTAGACTACCTGGACTTAGCTTTCGCTCTTCAGTAGTGGCTGGTGAGGGTCGGGCTGAATCCATTCGTTCTCTAGCTTAGCCATCTTCCTCACAGAATTTCATTAATTCGGCGGACTGCACTGAGAAATCTCTCTTTGTTCCTCTCACTTTGTTCGAGCTACTTCGTGCCTTTCGTGGGTGATTCTTCAATTAGCTTAACTAGACTAGATCTACCATTCCCAAGCCATTCCTCTATGAGCTATGTGCTTACGGAGAATTCCCCTCATTTCTATCTCAAGGCCAATTCCGGAATTTGATACTTTCTACACCAAAAATATTCTATTAAACGAGGGTATTCGTGCTTGGATGGCGGCTCAAGATCAGCCTCATGAAAACCTTCTATTCCCTGAGGGGGTTCTACCACGTGGAAACGCTCTTTAATGGAACTTTAGCTGTAGCTGGTCGTGACCAAGAAACCACCGGTTTTGCTTGGTGGGCCGGAAATGCTCGACTTATTAATTTATCCGGTAAATTACTAGGAGCTCACGTAGCTCATGCTGGGTTAATCGTATTCTGGGCTGGAGCAATGAACCTATTTGAAGTGGCTCATTTTGTACCAGAGAAGCCGATGTATGAACAAGGATTAATTTGACTTCCCCATCTAGCTACTCTAGGTTGGGGTGTAGGTCCCGGGGGGGAAGTTCTAGATACCTTTCCATACTTTGTATCTGGAGTACTTCATTTAATTTCCTCTGCAGTATTGGGCTTTGGCGGTATTTATCATGCACTTCTGGGACCCGAGACACTGGAAGAATCTTTTCCGTTCTTCGGTTATGTATGGAAAGATAGAAAAAAAAATGACCACAATTTTGGGTATTCACTTAATCTTGTTGGGTCTAGGTGCTTTTCTTCTAGTCTTCAAGGCTCTTTATTTTGGGGGCGTATATGATACTTGGGCTCCGGGAGGGGGAGATGTAAGAAAAATTACCAACTTGACCCTTAGTCCAAGTATTATATTTCGTTATTTACTAAAATCCCCCTTCGCCCGCTTTTCGGGCTCATAATAAACCTTCGGAGGGGAGGGGTGGATTGTTAGTGTGGACGATTTATAAGATATAATCGGAGGACATGTATGGTTAGGTTCCATTTGTATACTGGGCGGAATCTGGCATATCTTAACTAAACCCTTCGCGTGGGCTCGACGTGCCCTTGTATGGTCTGGGGAGGCTTACTTATCTTATAGTTTAGGGGCTTTATCCGTCTTTGGGTTCATTGCTTGTTGTTTTGTCTGGTTCAATAATACATACCGCCTATCCTAGCGAATTTTACGGACCTACTGGTCCAGAAGCTTCTCAGGCGCAAGCATTTACTTTTATCGTTAGAGACCAACGTCTGGGGGCTAATGTAGGATCCGCTCAAGGACCGACCGGTTTAGGTAAATATCTAATGCGTTCCCCCACCGGAGAAGTCATTTTTGGGGGCGAAACTATGCGTTTTTGGGATCTGCGCGCTCCTTGGTTAGAACCTCTTAGAGGTCCAAATGTATAGAATCGGACCCACTACGCGCTAACTAGGATTCATAAGACGAACAAAAGAAATACATAGAAATAAAGGGAAAGGGATGGAATAAAGAAGATAAGGAGGTCGAAGACCAAGAAGTGAGTTATTGTCAACTGTTTCTTGTTCCCGTTTGGCCCAATGACTTTAACCCTTGCTGACCTAGCAGCTATTGGAACATTCAGTAATGAGTTCCTTATATTAAAAGGGAAATTTCATATTTCACCTGGCAGAAGTATCACTCGCTATCCTGGTACTGCTCTCTCGTTCCTTCGCTTCTGGCTTCCTATCCGTTAAGTGCTTATCTGATCTTACTCTATAGCCTTGGGAAGTCCTAGCTAATAAAGAATCTCCCGCTCGTAGGCTCAATCAGCTTATCAGTTCGATCAGGATCTGGTATTGCATTCCCTATTCCGGACCTTAGGCAGACGACTAACTTAGAAGCTACTTCCCCGTCTCCTCTCGATACTCGTTCAATCTTTTCGGTACCCATCAGTGAGTTCATCGAGGTTTTTCAAAAAACTTCTACTTAAGCAGGTGATGATGAGCGATTGAAGGGAGGCCCCGCCGATTGAGGGTACGTAGCCTTTTCAAAAGGAAACCGATAACCCTTCCTTATTATAGACTGAAGAAGATTTCCGACATTCAACTCGAGGACAGCACAGCCTTTAGCAGCTAGGGAGATCGGACGCTTTTCTTAAACAAGAAGGGGCTGTGTCGGATGAAAATTGGGGGTTTTAGGCGGATACTACCGGAACTCTCGTCTTTTAGATCAAAGACCCTTTCGGACTTTCGAGTTTAAGAAATTCCTCTTGTTCCTGAATGCCTCTTTACTTTAGTATGGTCTGTCTTCTAGTCTTTCCAATGCCTCCTTCCTTGTCGCCAACGAACGCTACTAGGAGAGTAAGCAAGCTACTTTGCTTGCAGTCTATTCAAGTAAAGGAGTAGAATACCACCATGGTTGTCCCGAATTGACTTTCTTCCTCTCCTTTCAGTCGAGCATATTGCATAACCTCTCACAAAGTTCGAGTATATTCGTTCCTCTCCCTTCGCCCTTCGGGCTCACATATGATAAACCTTCGCCTTTCGGGCTCACATATGATAAACCTTCGCCCTTCGGGCTCACATATGATAAACCTTCGGTAGAGCATATTGTATAACCTCCAGTTCGATTATTATTCTTGACTTGACTTATTATAAAAAGTACTCACTATAAAAATGAAAAACAATCGATTATCTACCCAAGAAGATAGAGAGTCCCACATACGAGAAAAGGTCACAAATAGAGTTGAACCAAGTAACATTGCAAAGGCATAATGATAGTAGGGTCGGGATATCCCCGCCCTCCGAACCGGACGTGAAGGTCTCCCCTCATCCGGCTCTCCGCAGGGGAATCTCCACTCACTGCTTCCCCTAATATCCTCCCTTTACCACATCATGGGGGTTTACAGGAGATCCCGGAGGCTCGCTCGGAAGGCAGCTATACCATACCTTTTTACTCAACTCTACTCTAGTAGTCACTAGACTCACTATAGTAGTCCGTCCGGCTGCTCTTGCTGAAATCATTACTCTTTATTCTCCCGTGCTCTAGCAATTGCGCTCCCTAGACCACTACCATTTAGTTAGGTAGGGACAATCAATCCGTAGTGACGGGAATGACGGACTGAATGGGGATCCCTATCAATATAAAAATGAAGAATATATATATAATTAGTTACACTACCTTTCTCTCACTCAATAGATGTATCTGGTCAGATACGGTACAGTACAATACGAGACGATGGAATGCAATGGGATGGATGGTAGAGGGCTGCCTGCACCCAAAAGTATGATAGCCCGAAGGGCGAAGGTTTAGAATATGTGAGCCCGAAGGGCGAAGGGAGAGGGACTCAGAACAGAAAGGCGGTCAAAGGCCGTTCATTAAGTCCCCGTTTCTATCTGAACTAAGGGGCGGGCCCTTATAAAAGATATAAGCTGTAACACCCTACCCTATACGTTTTGCCTAATCATATTGTTCATACAATTGCAGCGGAATTAATCTTGGGTGTTACATTAATTATCAAAATTTATCCAAATAAAATTTCGACATGAATTACTCGCGTAATGGGCTAACAGTTCTTCCATCTAATCCTGCAAAATAATTCATCTAAATCCATGCATTCATAGACAAACATATACACTCACTGCCATATGCATTGGCTTTTCATAGCCATAGTCACCGTTTCATGTTACACAACTGCATACTATACTAATACATGCCATAATCGTCACAACTTACATAATTACACAAATATACACATATCATCAACTTTCCACACCTGTGGATATCTCACACTACATCAGAAGCTAGTATGCACATGAAAAACTTTCTCAAAACCTTTTTACAAAAAGGTGTGGATCACTGGCCAAAATCCCGAGTAGTAGTCCAAGCACAGAATAGTTGAAGACCATACCTCATCTTGCCTTCAACTCTTGCTCAACTCCCACCTATACACCTATCTACTGCTGCTGCTGGTGATGATCTGCTTACACATGGCATAAGCAGAGAAAAAGGATAAAGAGGGTCAGCTCATAGCTGAGTGAGATAATCATAGCATCGTGAGTTCATAACAGAGCATACCCCTACCATACATCTAGCAAACAAGCCAAAGCACTAGGATCAGACCTCAGCCATTCGACATCCCAATAGGCAAAAGACTCAACTACCTTGACTCATGCATATGCATCTTATCATGTTTTACTTATAGGCGCCTGGCTACTCCCATGCTATTAACTCTCCCGGGAAACATACCCCACATCCCGTCGGATGTAGTCATACATACCCCAACATCCCGTCGGATGTGGTCATACATACCCCACACCACTATGGGTGTAGTCATACCCCGACACCGCTCTGGGTGTGGTCATATCTCGTAAGAATTCTTCAGTCACCACCACATGAGAGGTGTGACTATCATACATATCATAATAGAGTAATAGCATAGGGAGCCTTAATTACTATGTAGTTGACCGTGAGACCACAACACTCATATTTGGTATCCTTATACATGATTCATATCTCATCTTGCTTAATCATAATTCGTTACTTGCACATGTACTTGACCTGGCCATAATTGGCTCAACATAGGTAAATCAGGAGTCGTATTATTGCACTTCCTCGGGATAAACCCTCGTGCAAGTCATCCTCCTTAAACATCATAATATTACCAGGAGATATATATTTTCCCACTTGTACATCCAAATACATCAATCATGAAATGTCATACCCAATCACTTTCTCGAACCATCATAAAGCATATCAACAGTCAAGCCCACAATTTGCAACATATACACAATCATCAGCATAAGCCAGGTCCATATCGATTAGGGCAAATCAATAATATCATATTGCAGTCCAGGGTTCATCATATAGCACAAAAGTCCATACACCCCTAATCATGTCATTCTAATTCACCTAGGTCAATTCTAAGCATCAATATAATTATCGTGATACGACAAACCCGGTATGCCGTGCTAATCCCTCACCAGTTCTGGTCGTTCAAACACCGGTTCTAGCCTCTCGTACTAAAATGTCAATTTCATGAACGAACCCTGAATTAAAATCCGAGACCGTCCTAATATCCCCTGCAGTATCCCCGTCAATATTAGTTCTAGGCTCCAGGTCAAATTCTTGATAAAAACACATCAAACCCTGGCCGGAGCTAAATTCAGCGGTTTGGACCCCAGCCTAAATAATAGCCGAAATTCAGGGATTAGAACTAGAGGATTGATTACCTCGCTGCAGGAAGCTCGTATATGAAATTTGGGCTCAATCCGGCTTCCGGATACTCCGAAACCCTAATTTGGCTTATCGGGAATTCGAGAAATTCCTGAACCAAAAACTCGTTTTAAAGCTCTAAATCGATAAATCACGATATATGGATGAATTAGGCATAACTTACGGGATTTTTGGATCACTTATGCTCAAGAATTGAGCTCTGGAATTTTTACCGAGCTCTCCTATGTTCCTGCTCTGCTCGCGGTCCGGAAATGGAAATATGATGATGGTGATGAGAAGTAATGGACGGGGGGAAAGGGGAATTAATATATATGCGG